CACACACACACACACTCACACACTCACACACTCACACTAGCTTGCTTGCACTCATAGATAGGATTGACAAATTCCTGACATGTGTGTGGAGCATGACATAAATATGAGGTAGTGTCGTAACCGCTGGGACTTCAGGCATTGGCAGCATTGGCACAGCTGTTGTCCACTTGCACAACAACTATGCGATGTTCACCATGCGTGTGCTCTTCTATGCCATTTGTTCTCCCCTAGTACGCCACCCGTTCTGACCCAAGCACAGTTTCATCCCATTTGAATATGCAATCGTTGATCCCTTGCTCTCTCCAGTACGTCGATGCCAGGTCTCCGGGCATGAGGTGAAAATATGTGTCTGTGTCTCTTTGATCCAGGAACACACTCCTGATCTGGGTGCTGCAGCATGACAACTATCACCTAAGCTTGGAGCTCAGGCTGAGGCGTTGAAGGCTTGCAACAAGCTTGACCTTCCCACTCGTCTCCTGCACGTCCATCACAAGTGAGAACAGCTCTGTCAGCCATACCACTACCGTTTTCCCCCGAATAAAACGTACGGTCATTCTGCCTGTATTTGGCACAACTTTCAGTCTATACGGTGAGAATGATGACAGTACGTTACCTAAAGAACTACAGAGTAGTAAAGACCAATTTCACTACTCAACCACACCCTACAAAATCCTCGCTAAGGCTCTTGCGAATAGAATCACAAAACTAACGAACAAATGCTTTCACATCGACCAAGCAGGTTTTATCCCGGGCCGGTACATACTGTACAACTTGATGACGCTGAACGAGGAAGCAAAGAAGATCATGGAAAAACAAATGAAGGCTGCAATCCTGTTTTTCAACTTCGAAAAGGCCTACAACCAAGTCAATTGGGAGTTTCTCCACGCATGCACGGAGAAAATGGGGGTAGGTCGAAACTTCAGAAATTGGGTGAAAGTCATTTACTCAGACGCTACAGGCAGAGTCCAGGTCAACAGGATCCTATCGGAGACCTGCCCGATATCTAGATCGGTCAGACAAGGCGACCCATTGGCTCCGCCTATATTCCTCTTCATTATGGAAGCCATAGCTTCCTTCCTTCGAAAAGACCCATCCATCGACCGCCTTACTGAACGCAATTTCAATCCGTTACACGACTTCGCTCTACCCACTGCACTTATGTTCGCTGATGACCTCACTGTCCTCATTCGCACCAATAACTGTTCTTTCCAAGCCCTTGTAAGAGCAATTGAAGCCTTCAGATTGGCATCAGAAATGAAGCTCAACTGGGGCAAAACTGAAGGCTGGTGGCTAGCAGACGGTACCCCTCCCCAACAATCCGATACAGTCACACCCATGTCATGGACGACGAGAGAGCAAGCACTACGTTTCCTGGGCATCATGGTCAACAACGACGGAGCATGGCCAGGAATGGGTCAGAACCTAATTGCCAAGGCAATCACCCGCTTGGCCCTATGCAAAAACGATCAGGCCTCATTAATCAGACATGCCCTATTAATTAACATAGCAATCCACTCCACACTGTGGTACATGGCATCCATCTGGTCTCCCCTGACGACGACCTCAAGATGCTAAAAAACAGGGTGAGATGCTATTGGTGGACATGAGATCCCAACAGGACCACATGTATCAACAGGGTAGCCTGGAACCACATTACTAGGAGACCACAGGAAGGGGGCCTTGGGTTAATCCACCCCAAGCAGGACTCCAAAGAATTGCAGATGAAATGGATTATCAAGATCCTGATCAGACGATTTATTCCATGGGCCCAGATGGCTCTAGACAGTATCAGAAACCTGGCGCCCATAAACTCCCCCCCGAACATCAGAGGTCTCTACTGGCTTATGGCAAAGGACTGGACAATCAAATCAGGCAGACCTCGCAGAAGAAACCCCCCAGAGCCTATCAAAACCCCCACTCAAACAGCTATCTCATGTTGGAGCCCTACCATCAAATCCTGGCGTAGAATGATGCCAAGCAAACACGGTTCACCAGGAAACAGAGAAGAGGTCCTAAGACAACCTCTCTTCTGCAACCCTTGTATCATCGACCCTAGCGGAGTGTCGTGGACACTACACACAAAAGACCGAAGATGGCTATCCAGGGTGGAAAAAGGTGTATGGCAGGTCAAACACATCTAGGCAGAGGACTGAGGATAATGGTCTACTGAACAGGAGCTACGGAATGTCTTAAAAGGCTGTCACTCCCTCACTGAAAACCTAAAACGCTGATTCAGAAGAACATTCCAAAACAATGGCTCTCCCTCCCAAGGGAGGACTTCTCGTGGAAATATGAGGATTGGGGCATACTCATTTCCCAAACCCAGCCTACCAGAGCATATCGATTCGTCTCTTGAACCAAACCACTCAACTACCTATCTAAATTCTACTCATACCCCATCGCTAATTACAGCCTACAAGAGCTGGAAATCCAGAACAAAGAACCCCAGTGCGACACACTTGAAACCTTCCGAATGAGAAAAGTGAGGGTCTCAAAGGACAAACCCTGGAAAATCTTCCAACCAGATCTCAGCAATTCAGACCTCGAATTCGACCCAAAAGAGTGGGTTTGGAAGCAGGGCAAGTCCAGGAGAACGAGGACGATATTTGAATATGATGTCAAATTCGGTTATGAATTGGGTCTGCAAACCACAGACCCGGACCCCAGACTCAAAGGAAAATGGAGGGAGATCCTGAATCTAGACCCCACGGACCCATTTCCATCCCTTGGACGAAGTACCTGTCTATTAGACCGGTTAGGATCCAAAGCATGCAGTGGCTCTTAGCGCACGCATCGCTGCCGGTCAATCAATAGCTCCACAAGAGGAGGAAACATAATGACCCTGACAGCTCTGAAATATGCAGGTTGTGCACAGACAATATCCCGGAAGATATACCCCACTGCCTCCTGTACTGCACGGAAGCAGCATGGATATGGAACAAGGTGCACAACCTATGGTCCCTCCTCTTCTTATCATCCCCTCCGTCCACAACTCCCCTGAAAATCCTGCTCCTATCCATTGCTACTAACAATCTCAAAGGTGGCATGGAAGTCTGGTTTCACCTGCTCAGGAAGCTGGATCCATGGGTAATCTGGAAAAGGTG